AATAAAAGATTTACGTATTACAATTAACTTTTAATATACCAAAAGGTATGATCATTAAGCATCCATAAAAACAAGTTAACGTTAGCTGATTATATAAGCTGTGAATCTATAAATCTTCTCCTTTCGTAGCACATGGTGAGACTTTCCAACCCGTCATGTTCTTTCGAGCGGCCCGTCACGTGCACCTTAAAGGGTGTTCAATGAAATGGAATTTGCATTTCGATTTAAAAGATTAACCTATTATGCATAAAAATGTCGACGCAAAATTTTAGGTTTTTCTTTTTTCAACTTTTTCACCTAAATTAGACCATAGAATGCTAAATGTAACGTTTATGGCCATTTTAGGTCGGTTCATTTTGATCATTAAGCATCCATAAAAACAAGTTAACGTGTGCACATGTCAACTTGGCTAAGCTAATTCAATTAGTTAACAATACAACCAAACTATAACTTACAGTTGAACTTGTTTATATGAGTTATAATGCCTTCAATCTCACACTAAAAGAAAAATTTTAATATAATTCATAAATAGATATAAACATTAATTATTACTAGCAAGTTATTATGTTAGAAGTGTATTGGTTTCATCATGTGTCTACCAATACAATTGTTAAAGTCATTAACATTTTTTTTTTAATTTTGTTAAATTATTTGTTTGTCTATTCAATTCAAGTAACGAATATAAAGTTAAATTTTAAAAATATATTTGTCCCTTAAATTGAATGAACAAATAAATAATTTAACAAAATAAAAAAATATTAATGATCATAATCAAAACCTGATGTGTCAATTGAAATTGTTTGAAAAATAACTTTGCTTTACATTATTACTTTCTTCCTTTCTTTTTTTTTTTTTTTTTTTTTTTTTTGAATTTTACGCATTTAGTTTACTTTGCCTTTCAAATTTTATTATGTGGTAAGTTAACGTACTTCTCATCAAAACAGGGCTTGGTAATACTGACGGTGCAAGCTCGCTCATCTTCCCTAAAGCCCCCATCATGCGACCCAACCAACCCCAACATTCCATGCCAAGAACCATCCGGTGCACAGGCCGCAATGCTATACATCGGCCTCTATCTTGTGGCACTCGGTGTCGGAGGGATAAAGGGATCCCTACCTGCACATGGCGCAGAACAATTCGACGAGGGTACTCCGGAGAAGAGGAAGCAAAGATCAACCTTCTTCAACTACTTTGTCTTCTGTCTTTCCTTCGGTGGCCTCATAGCCGTAACGTTTGTGGTCTGGATTGAGGACAACAAAGGATGGGTTTGGGGGTTCGGGATCTCCACCGTAGCAATATTGTTGTCGATCCCAATCTTCCTTACCGGATCTCCTTTTTACCGGAACAAAATTCCTTTTGGCAGTCCCTTCACAACAATTATTAAGGTAAGTGATATAATCACTTCAAACCTAAAAATTTTACAGTTTAAAATGAGGTATTTAATTAATTTATGTTTTTTAGAATATAAGTTAAAAGAATATTTTTTATTATAAATTTATATAAAAAATATAAAAATTAATATTAATTTCAAAATTATTGTTATATAAATAAATTTAGTTAAACAAATAATGAAATTAAAGATTAATATTTATTTTTTCAAAATGCTATATTAGAAAAACCTTAAACTATATCAAATCAAAATGCAAAAAGTAGGCCATTGGATGAGTATGGGACTGTAAGTATGACCTCTTATCCAACCCCATAGCTCAAATTTTACCATCTGGATTGCAAAACGACACACTTGAATTTTAGTTAAGCTTTTAATTTGGATACCAAACTTTTAATGTTTTCAATTAAGTGACGAATTGACACAATGGAATTCGTAAATTGAACAGGTTTTGGTTGCCGCAACAATGAACCCCTGTCTGAACACAAGCCCAAGCAACGCCATAGCGAACCTCACCGCAAGCCCTTCGTGTCCACAGGAGAACACAAAGGAATCAGCAGAAAACGCCAATGAAACCGATCGTCCACCGCCTCAAACTCCTTCCGAATCTCTCCGATTCCTGAACAGAGCGGTGGCCACCAAACCAGCTCATTCCGCCCTCCAATGCACCGTCCAGCAAGTAGAAGAAGTCAAAATAGTCCTAAAAATGCTCCCCATCTTCACGTGTACCATCATGCTGAACTGCTGCCTTGCCCAGCTCTCCACATTCTCAGTCGAACAAGCCGCCACCATGAACACCAACCTCGGCTCCCTCAAAGTCCCCCCCGCCTCCCTCCCATCCTTCCCCATCCTCTTCATCATGATCCTCGCCCCCGTCTACGACCACTTTATAATCCCATTTGCTCGTAAACTAACCAAATCGGAAATGGGAATCACTCACCTCCAACGAATTGGGACCGGATTAGTCCTTTCCATAATAACCATGGCAGTAGCAGCCGTCGTGGAGATCAAGCGGAAGAGGGTCGCAACTGACTCAGGCCTCCTCGACTCAGCCAATCCCTTACCAATTACCTTCTTCTGGATCGCCTTGCAATACTTGTTCCTGGGGTCAGCAGATTTGTTCACCCTGGCGGGGTTGTTGGAGTTCTTCTTCACGGAGGCGCCCGCGAGCATGAGGTCTCTGGCTACTTCCCTCTCATGGGCATCACTGGCAATGGGGTACTATTTGAGCTCCGTGATTGTGTCCATCGTGAATAACGTCACAGGGAAGTCCGGTCACCATCCATGGCTTTCCGGTGGCAACATAAATCATTATCATCTCGAGCGATTCTACTGGCTGATGTGCGTGCTGAGCGGATTGAATTTCTTGCACTATCTTTTCTGGGCCTGCAAATACAAGTACAGAGGTTCGGGAGCAAACAAGTAGCTTAATACAAGTAGCTATGTGTCGCACAAGTATGCATATGATAGATCCAACATACCCAAATGGATGCCCTTTGTGTGTACAAAACTTAGACATTGCATGCTTAGGGACCTGAGAAAGGGTGAGGATGATCTAGCTATTGTCCTGTAAGCAAGACTTGTTCTATAATCATAGACTTAACTGTACTGGTGGTAATTGGTTATTGTGTTAACCAGTGCCATGAATAATGGAACAGTTTCTGTTTCAACATTGGATGTATGCATAACTTCTTATTTCAACTACTTCAAGATGAGATTACAACTGTGGCTTGCAATGGCTGGCTTTCATAGCGCAGAAAGGTTAGCAATATGTAAGGAAAGAAGGCAATAGCCGTTATGAGTAGGAACACCCAGCAGTCTTTCATAAACTCCTTACTGCAACCTTTGCTGCGCCAACAGCACCAAGTTGTCTCATCGCTGGGCTCAGACCATGTCTGTCTTGGGTCTTATTGCAGTCTGAACTCCCATGAAGAATGCCATCTAAACCAATTATGATCACAGTCTGAGATAAAATTAGACCAACGAAAAATGATATGCCATAAGTTTTGAGGAATTCCGAAGCAGAGAGAATCAATAATTAAAGGAAACAACTAAAGCGATATCCCAATTCCCAGTTACCTACTTGAGTCATTAACTTATATTTGCAACTGGACCATGGCTTTAAGATGACTCACACAACAACCAAATTTACTAACTAATTCATCGAAAAAACCAAGAAAACTAAAAATTACTGGAGCACAAAGGTTGACAACACTCGATCATGTGTAGCCAAACCAACTGCTGACCTGCGTGGCTGTATTGGTAATACTGCATATTCTAGCTGGAAGAACTGTAGGCTATATATAATCATGCTACACTTTGGTGTGTTAGCAAGGTCCTCCCCATGGTAATAACAAGGACCATGATTTCATTACATCATCATCAATTGAAGTGTTGTGCATGTCCATTCTGAAAAAACATATGGTATTGTATTGATTAGCTATTTCGAAATACAGAATTAAGAAAAATGTAGCCATTGGTCCAAAGAAGAAAAAAAAAAAGAAAAAAAGAAAAAAGAAGACATAAGCTGTCAGTCATCCTGGAATATCAGGAAAAGTATCATAAGCAGCTCTAGGCTTCTTATTTTGAACGATAGGTTTTTTCACCTTAGACAAGATGACTTGATTTAGACAAGCACAAATAAGAAGATGATCACTTAATATGCTCAAGAATGGGTAGATTTATGTTCTACAACTATGAATTTCAGAATAAGTTAATAGTCTCTTCTCTTCATGTAAACTCCTATTACTAGCATGTAGGAGACTTTTGGATTCTTGTATCTACCTAATACGCAACCTAAAAGATGCATTTCTAAATCCTACATCCGTTCCGAAAACCAGGAGCATACACAACCTTATTGTATTTGTGGAGGATGAAAGGGAAAGAATGCTAAGTATCTAATAAAAAAGGTCAGTTCTATTGAAGGTGGAAAGTAAAAGCAAAGAAGCCAAAACTCCAGTAAATGCCTAGACTCAAATTCTTCAAGCATATATGCTATCAGGGATAACTTAAAAAACTTGTATTCATATCATATGAACAGCTATCCTTGGCCTATCATTTTTTAGTTCAAAGATTGATCATTAAATTTTTTTTTCTTTTTTAAATTGTGATGGCAACAAGGCTTACATACATATGTTCCCTGCATCAATATGATCACTTTAATGAAGACGGGAAGCATGCCATTACTTTTAAATCTTTTTCCAATACTCTGTAGATCATTCCATAAAATTAAAGACAGTAAATCTGAGGCCAGGAGCAATAGCGGGAGATAAAGGCTACAATAAGGCTATTTACCCCTTGCGAGTTACCATAAAGCTTCTTGCAGAGAAGGTCTCTGTGATTTAATTGAAGGCATTGAGATTGGTTCCATTCAAGAACTATGGGCTGGTTTAAGTCAGCATCATTACAGAATTAAATTGAAAATGCAGTTGCTTGTGAATGACTTTCAACTAACAGTTCATTACGTATCCAAGTTTGCAAGTTAACAAAAATTTTCATCATTTAGCCATCTAGCCTAGGTAATGCAGTGAGAATGTCAGGAGAAAACAATTTAGCACCTTCCCTTTTACAAGAATCTGTGCAGTTGTGACCTCATACTTCATGTCTTGCATAACCTATAGAAGCAAAGGAGAAAAGTAAGCAGCTGCATAAAATGCTTGTGTTGAGTATATTTTTAAATAAGAAGATCTAAATCTTTCTATCCTTAATTAAGTCATATATGGCATTAAATATAAAACACTTGAGAGTGTAAATTTGATAAAGCTCTGAGTACCTTTCAATTTTAAGAAGGATCACTTGTGTAAATTATAGGCATGTCAGGTAAATGTAGATTGGTTTTCAAGGCAGCACAAAAATGATGGAGACACAAACCAAACACATCAGAAATATATCTTAGCACAACTGCATGCCATATCTACTCTAAAACAATGAAACTAGGAATTTTCCAAAAACTCACAATACAAAGCTTTGTTTGATTCTACCAAGTGATATATTTAGTGATGAACTGATGAAGCCTGCCCCAACAAAGCTACATCTCTTCTCTCAGACCAGTCTTCCAGTCAACTCACTTAGTGGGTGAGAGCACAGAAAGGACACTATTACTGGCAGCTCTAGCTCTTTGCTTCTCTAAACCACTTGCTTCACAATGCCCTTCAACATCCAATCCTGTAAATATGGAATTGGAAAATAAGAACTCCTCCCCAAAAATCTGATAATGATAACCATATATAGAAACACATTAGCAATAAACAAGCTACATTTGACAGAAGAGCAACTCACTGACCATTAGAAAAATCCCAATTAATAGACAATGTTATCAACAAAGGGTGGTTACAACCATGAACCATGCAGTGAGCACAGAGTGAACTACCCTTCGCATATTACTAAAGATTGGGGACAACTCAACTGAGCTAACCTTAAGCTCAAACTACTTCGTACCAGTTGGATAAATACTTTGACTCCATTCCACCCAATCAGGTACCATTCTTTGGGGAAGATCCTAAAGAGCTAGAGCCTTTCTTGCCATTTGATCCGTTGTTAATCTTTGGCCCACCTCTTCCCCTGCTAAATCCTAGATATGTCACCTCAATCTTACATAAAGAGCATCCCTAAATCTATGCCACACGTTGCCAAACCAGCTACACTATCCTTCTTTTAACTTGTCCTCATTGGTGCTACCTCAACCTCTGTACGAATTCCTCATCTTATATTTTCTAGCATGACAACACATCCACAAACATCCTCATTTCAGCTACAAACATCCTGTAAGTCTGATGTTGCCCAACTTCCCAACCCTCAGCTCAAGAAAGGATAGCTGCTCTTATAGCTTCTATATAAACCTTAGTTATAAAACATGAAAAGATGAAGAATTTGACGAGCTGAGATCAAACCGATAATGGACATGGACAAGGAAAAACAGGCACTCAACACAAACTGTAAAAATAAAAAACCACTGCGAGGAAAGGCATTACCATTCTTATTGGTCCTCTGACCCTGAACTGAAACACCCTATCGTTCTTACCAATCACCTCTTCCGGCATGTACACCATCGTTTTCAAGAACCCCGGCTCGCAAAAACTATTTGATGGCCGGAAATTGAAGGGGCAGTGATGGTGTGACTATTACATTGATATTTACTTTAGTATCCATTTTTGGGTGAGGGCATGCTAACCTTTAGGATTCAAACTCCTGCACTCACAAGAGTGATCTCCACCATAAGGGACTGACTCTCACCCTTTTAAATTATCTGTCATGTCCCTCTACTTTCAAATATAAATACCCCTGCCGTCCCTTCTCCCACTTATCCGTATCTTCTCTCTTGCTACTTCCAGAAGGCGTCTCGATAAATGCCGTTGTTTTTTCTTCTCTAATCTATTTGATTTTCATAGTTCTTCGACTTTCAAGTTTCAACAAGTGAAAATGAGAGAGAACATCTCGATGCACATCGGTCAGACCGGTATTCAGGTCGGAAAGGCCTGCTGGAAGCTCTGCTGTCTCGAACATGGAATCTAGGTCCGTATCTCTCTCACCTTTCCTAGATCTTCATTTCTCTAACAAGTGTGTTTTTGGATCTGTTTGCTCTAGCTTCCTTTTTGGTTTGGTTTCAGATTTGCATTTTGTTCTCATTTCCCTGTAATGTTTAAGATCCGTGTGTTTTCTTGCCATTTTTTGATTCATCAAATTCTCTGAGGTGCTTATTTTATTTCTCGATTGGAGCTAAGATTATCGTGTTTAATGACGTAAATCTCTGTTTCCTTTTTTCTGCAAATCTATGTATTTGTCATGGATTTACTATATTGGTGTTTCTTATGGAATTTTTTTTTTTTTTTTTTTTATGTGGGTGTAGTTGTGGAAATATTGGAGAACCTGGCATATGTGGCAAATGCAAGCAATCTGGTGCTGTACTTGTCACAGTACATGCACTTCTCCCCGTCAAAATCCGCAAACAATGTCACCAATTTCTTGGGAACTGCCTTCCTTCTGGCTCTGCTTGGAGGCTTTTCTTCTGATGCTTTCTCCACTACTTATCACATCTACCTGATAAGTGCTCTCATCGAATTTTTGGTAACTCCTACTTTCACTCCCAAATTCTCTTTTTCCAAATTGACTTTCCCTCATTATAATATTTCATTTTTTATGAGGTATTTGGTTTGGGTAATTTTATTAATTTATAATTTTTTTCCCTTAAATAGCCTTGGAAACCTCACCTTTCAAATGGTTAAGTAACATCATTTAAGATAATTTTATCAACAAAAATAGTTTTCAAACAACCTTTTTGTATCACTTTTTGAAACAACCTTTTTGTATTATTTTTTAAAACAACATAATGTGTTATTTAAATAATTGATTCTTTTTATTCATATGGAATCCATAATATTAAATACATCAACTTACTTAATTGAATACATTAACTTATTTAATAAGATGTAAAAGTTATATAAAAAAATTATATAAAAAAGTTATCCCTATAGTATCGTATTTTTATCAATTATTAATTGATACCTAACAATTACAAGCGGTCAAACGAAACTGAGGCTTATTCTTTATTTTTTGAAATTTTTTTCAAGATTTCCCTTTTCTTGCATTTCTTAGAGGTGTATATTAGATAAAATCATGCCTTCACATTAGAGTTTTTGGAATAAAAATAGGAAAAATAAGATTTTTTAATAATTAAAATATTAAAAATGATAATGAAAAGGTTAAAATGACTTCAATAAATCAATATATAAAAAAAAATTATTAAGTGTATTTATACAATTTTATAAAAATTATGATATTTAAAATACTAAATCATCTTAATTTTCATTTATTTCTTTTGCAATAAGCATT